ATATATATATATATATATATAGCTATATATCTATATCTAGCTATATATCTATATCTATATCTAGCTATATATCTATATCTATATCTAGCTATATATCCATATCTAGCTATATATCCATATCTAGCTATATATCCATATCTAGCTATATATCCATATCTAGCTATATATCCATATCTAGCTATATATCCATATCTAGCTATATATCTATATCTAGCTATATATCTATATCTAGCTATATATCTATATCTAGCTATATATCTATATCTAGCTATATATCTATATCTAGCTATATATCTATATCTAGCTATATATCTATATCTAGCTATATATCTATATCTAGCTATATATCTATATCTAGCTATATATCTATATCTAGCTATATATCTATATCTAGCTATATATCTATATCTAGCTATATATCTATATCTAGCTATATATCTATATCTAGCTATATATCTATATCTAGCTATATATATATATATATATATATATATATATATATATATATATATATATATATATATATATGGTAATAGGCAAGCAACCATTTTGCAGCTCATGTGAATGACCACTATAGGTTACCTTCTCTCCAAGTCTGCATGTCTCCTCTTATAAAAGTAGATGAAGAAAAGAGAAATAAAAATGATGGGGACAATGCTGCCCATGCAGACCAAAGCCACAAACAGAGTTTCATCCTTCAGTGGAAGACTGTGGAAGAAATCCTTTGGCTGGTGTGTTGTGAAATCTGGAAATGAAAGCATCCTTTTGTTTAAAAAAAATTACTAGTTGATTTGATATTTACCTACAATTGTTACATTTAAAAAAAAACACCATTATTACAATTGTTACATTAAAAAACAACAAACCTTATTATTATAATTGTTACATTTAAAAAAAAAAAAAAACAACAACAAGAAACGTTATTTTCAAAGAATTTATCATAATAGTATAGGCTGAAATGTTATTTATTATGGCAACTTACAATCAATTAAAAAAAAGATCAGGAAAATCCTAACAAAATGTGCTCAAAAGTCATTTACAATTAATTCAGTGATAAAAATGCGTACCTGAGAATGATAAATGTTTTTTAAACCACAAGTTGTCTGGAGCCATGGTTAAAATATCATTTATCATGTTTAAAAAAAAATACCTATTTGGGTTTTTTCCATATATTTTATTGTATGAGCTTCCATTTACCTATTAAAAAAATTATTCCCTCAACTTTTATAAATTTGGCAACAACTAGAATTAACTAAACCTGGGTGCAGTTTATTTTATCAGTATAGAAGCACAGTTTCAAAGAATATGTGTGCCATCTCACCTGAAGAATTAACAACCAACAGATTAAACAGATCCATCTCAATAATATTCTTCAGCTGGGAGGTCAGGCTTAGCTTGAGGCTCTCGTTACTGGCTAGGACCGTTTGGTTCACCTCAGAGAAACTGCTCTCCACTGCGTGAGTTATTCCATCATGGAGAGCTGCCTGTTAAGAAAAAAGTTTTTTTAAACAAGTTATTGCTACTGACAACAATAATGGTTTCATGAGGCTTGAGGATTGGTGTTTTGAAGGTGGGAGGAATTTTTTTAGTGTGCTAAAAAGGGAACCAGTAATGGTTGAGACCACAATGGTAAATATAGCAAAAATATGCAAATGATACCATATATTTACAAAAAATGTATTCTATACTTTATAAATTTGATGATGATAGCAAAACATAAATTTGTGGCTAGCAATCAAAACCTTCAGAAAGATTTTTTTTTTATTTAGAGTATTTTGGCAAGCTTCCAGATATTAGAGTTTATTGGCTCACAGTAATTGAATGCTTAGGTCCTAATTAATTGTGTATTAATCTTTAGAAGTAGATAAAACAATGGTTTAACCTAGTGTGTGGTTGATCTGGCACCAATAAATACAAAAAATGTTTAACTTAATTAACTATAGTGTGATTAGTGTGGCACTTATAAATAAAGAATTGTTTAAACTAAATAACTTAGCTGAACTCACTGTGTGGTTGGTGTGGCACTTATAAATAAACAAATGTTTAAACTAAATAACTTAGCTTAACTCACTGTGTGGTTGGTCTGGCACCAATAAATACAAAAAATGTTTAACTTAACTAAACCTATAGTGTGGTTGGTGTGGCATTTATAAATAAACAAATGTTTAAACTAAATAACTTAGCTGAACTCACTGTGTGGTTGGTGTGGCACTTATAAATAAACAAATGTTTAAACTAAATAACTTAGCTGAACTCACTGTGTGGTTGGTCTTGCACTTATAAATAAACAAATGTTTAAACTAAATAACTTAGCTAAACTCACTGTGTGGTTGGTCTGGCACCAATAGAGCTGGCCCAGCAAACTGTTGAGCCACTTCTCTAGAAGTGGCTTCAAGATGTCCGAGAAAGTCTTGAGCCCGGGTACACCAGTGAAAGCATCCTCCAGTAAATTCCCTATGTGAGGCTGGATCATTGCCCACACACTGCTGGTCTCATCTTGCTGGTTATAGGCACTCACATTTCTACCACCATCACACATTCTCGACTGAAACCATTGGAAATGTAGCACAACATTAGTAACAAGGTTTTTATACTGATGGTCAGCAAAAATATGTTGAATGTTAAATATTATGTCTAAATAGAAATTAATAATGCCCTAATGAGATAAATTTTCATACATTTAGGAGCCTTGTTAACAAAACAAAAGAATTCCAACAAAAATAAAGAATATGATTGATACAATTTATTTATAATTATTTTGTATTTCTAATTATTTTATGTGGTTCCCAGAAAGAAGCGCAACGGAAAAAAGCGCAATGGAAAAAAGCGCAAAACAAAAAGCGCAACGGAAATAAGCGCACACGGAAAAAAGTGCAAAGAGAAAAAAGCGCACACGGAAAAAAGCGCAAAGAGAAAAAAGCGCAAAGAGAAAAAAGCGCAAAAAGAAAAAAGCGCAAACAGAAAAAAGCGCACACGGAAAAAAGCGCAAAGAGAAAAAAGCGCACACGGAAAAAAGCGCAAAGAGAAAAAAGCGCAAAGAGAAAAAAGCGCAAAAAGAAAAAAGTGCAAAGAGAAAAAACGCAAACAGAAAAAAGCGCAAACGGAAAAAAGCGCAAACAGAAAAAAGCGCAAACGGAAAAAAGCGAAAACAGAAAAAAGCGCAAACGGAAAAAAGCGCAAACGGAAAAAAGCGCAACCAGAAAAAAACAACGAAAAATGTGCAAAAGAGAAATTTAGCACAAATACCTATATCGACTAGATGACACATTTATACAAAACTGTTAGGGCTGCTGTAAGAGTGTCGTGTTTGATCACGTGATCTACTACCATTTAAAGCGTACCACTACCATGTGCATTCCCCTCACCACGATACAGGCGATAATCGCTTTACACAATGCCTATTATTTTCTTGGTCAATAATTATTCAACTACTATTCTCGTATAAATAAACATAAAACTATCCTTGATATCGACATTACACGAAGTATCTCTCACATTCTCCCTAGTCCGAACTACCTAGCTTGCATACCATAACTACCCGTTCCTATGGCAAAACTTCATTCTCTTTCATACGCGTCATTAAACATCTAATTACCTATCTAATTACCTCATATATATATATATATATATATATATATATATATATATATATATATATATATATGGGTAGGTGGGTAAGTGGGTGGGTAGGTAAGTTGTTAGGTGGGTATGTGGGTAGATGTGTGGGTGGGTAGTTAGGTAGGTGGTTGGGTGTTTGTGTAGATGATATAGATTATGCACATTTCCATTTTGCTAGCTTAGTAACAGTGTTACAAAACTCGAAATTTCAAACTGGTTTGGCGTAAGGTTAGTTCATTGATCATGTTGAGCCCTACATTACATAGTTAATCAGTTTAACAATGTAGATGATATTGGAGTAGGTGTAAGTCAAAGCCTGATGTTATTATAAAACTTCTTCTCTCTTTGTTTCTTTATAAAAAGGTTTTGGAAGGCTTTTTAAGGTTTTTTACTGAAAGGTTTACCGGACGAATGCAAAATGATATAAACAACCATAGCTCTTCTGTTATATAGGCTACATGCAGTGTTTCTTCCAGACTTTTTTCTCCGGGGCTAACGGGGGGGGGGGGGGGGGGGGGGGGGGGTGACGGGGGATTTTCGGGGGGGGGGGGGGGGGGACACACTAGTAAAAGTGTATGTTTACATGTTTTCATTACCCTTCAAACAATAGTCTATTTTAGTTATATTGAGATTAAAGAATGTAAATATATAGTACACACAATTCTGTAGAATAGGAACGATTGGGAGGGAAGTGACATATAGCGCAAGAAATTTAGAGGTTAGGTAGGGTATAATACATGGTGGGGTTAGGAAAGTTATGGGGTCCATTCTCTAACAGGCAGTCTATGTCTCCTTCGTACTTTCGTGTTGGTTTATTGTCGAACCTGTCCTCACCTCACATCACAACAGTTGGGTGACGCTTACCGTGTAATGTTAAAATAAATAGCATGTAATTGAGTTAGTTCGAAGTGAGTTTTCATACAAGCCCAACGCACTAATTAAGATTGTCGCAACATGTAACATATATGTAACATATGTCAATGATATCAATGAATTTTCATTAAAAAAAAGTACAGTTTACGAAACTAACGAACTTCGCCGATCCTTTTTCTGTGGGTAGGTGGGTAAGTGGGTAGGCGGGTAGGTGGGTAAGTGGGTAGGTGGGTAGGTAGGTAGGTAGTAGGTAGGTAGGTAAGTGCGTCATGATGTGAAATAATATTAAATACATAATTGTTATTTTGGTGCGAATGAATGTTGTTGCGAGAGATATGAGAGATATGACGAATGCATGTTAGATGACTCGGATGAAAGAGAGTGAAGTTTTGCCATAGGAACGGGTTGTTATGGTATGCAAGCTAGGTAGTTCGGACTAGGGAGAATGTGAGAGATACTTCGTGTAATGTCGATATCAAGGATAGTTTTATGTTTATTTATATGAGAATAGTAGTTGAATAATTATTGACCAAAAAAATTATAGGCATTGTGTAAAGCGATTATCGCCTGTATCGTGGTGAGGGGAATGCACATGGTAGTGGTACGCTTTAAATGGTAGTAAATCACGTGATCAAACACGACACTCTCACAGTAGCCCTAACAGTCATGTATAAATGTGTCATCTAGTCGATATAGGTATATGTGCTAAATTTCTCTTTTGCACATTTTTCGTTGTTTTTTCTGGTTGCGCATTTTTCTGTGTGCGCTTTTTTCCGTTTGCGCTTTTTTCCGTTTGCGCTTTTTTCTGTGTGCGCTTTTTTCTGTTTTCGCTTTTTTACGTTTGCGCTTTTTTCTGTTTGCGCTTTTTTCCGTTTGCGCTTTTTTCTGTTTGCGCTTTTTTCTCTTTGCGCTTTTTTCTCTTTGCGCTTTTTTCTCTTTGCGCTTTTTTCCGTGTGCGCTTTTTTCTCTTTGAGCTTTTTTCTGTTTGCGCTTTTTTCTGTGTGCGCTTTTTTCTTTTTGCGCTTTTTTCTCTTTGCGCTTTTTTCTCTTTGCGCTTTTTTCCGTGTGTGCTTTTTTCTCTTTGCGCTTTTTTCCGTGTGCGCTTATTTCCGTTGCGCTTTTTGTTTTGCGCTTTTTTCCGTTGCGGTTCTTTCCGGCCACCATTTTATGTGTATGTGCTAATTATTGCTGCTACTAAACATTGTTATTGCTCTTGCTACTTTTATTAATTGAGCTTGGGTAAATCTAATGTCATATTTTTCTACATCTAGATCTAGAATCTAGTAGTCGCAAATATTCTGAAAGTTTTTTTTCTGTGTTTCTTTAAAAAAACATTAATTACTACACTCGACTTTATTTATAATATTTAGATTTACTAATTGTAGCTAATTTTCTGTCAATTAAATATCAAATTCAGTTAAAACTTAAAAATTAAGTTAAAATGCACTATCACTAGACTTTATTTTTATTTCAACGGTCAAATAAACTATGGTTTACAGTAACGAATGCTACCAAAACTCAACAAACATTACCAGATAATGTCCGATGCTACATTGTGAGATTACCGTGTTTTGGTTGTGTTTTTATATTAAACTATTCATCACAACTATACTTAACTAATTATAAATGATAAATAATCTATAGGCCCTACTAATTATGCCTATTATTATAAATAGGCCGATGCTAACCGGAAAAAGATACGCATGCGCAATGGAGAGAAACTATAACTTGCCACAGTGGCAATGTTTTCGATGGTACTGCACGTGCAGAACCCTAGCCCTAACCCAAACCATATCCCTAATCCTAACCATAGGTCACTGCGCATGCGCAGAGCTATCTTTTGCAGACTTAGTGGAGACGTTGGGGAGAAAAATCTTTTTCCGAGTAGTCACTTCGTTATAGGCCTACATATTATTAAGACTTTTGGTAATCTATCATTTTAGGTATGCAAAATCGCCAGCGACTAGTAATGTGAAAAACAGGTGACTCCTTAAATTTTAATAAGTAGGCCTAATTCACATTTTCAGGAGGATTTATGTTTTGAAAAATACAAAAATGTTTCCTTATTTCATTTATGTACTTGATTTTAAACAATGGAATTAAAACTTTTCAGTAATAAATGAAGACTAGCGATGTTTCCAACAGATGCAACCATGCTCATTTACTATAGCAGCTATCTTGTTTATTTTTTTTATTGTAAACTTATATCGCAAGATTCAGGGGATGCCACTCTTACTTACAGATGGCCGCTTTTTATATATATAGCAAATCCTGCTCGCAAACACTGCTGTTTAAAGTTAATTTCTTGCCTATACTATCTGTAGGCCGTTCGATTCACAGCTTCCGGGTTTGTTGTTTTGAAGCCATCTCACGGCTCATGCGCTTACCAAAAATGGCGACCAGTTTCGCTTTCACTAATGGGTAGAGGGATAAAACTAATGATTACGAAGCCATCGTTAATTTTAGAAATCGGAACTATCCGTTTCTATTTAAGTCTATTAATTAAGAATTGTCGGATCTACTTTTGGCCTAATTTCTTTGTTTGTCTCGCAAGCGGCGCCTTAGTGAAAGTAGCTCTATATAATTCTCATCTTTCGAATCAAATAACTCTAAAATACCCCGTGTATAATAAACCAAACTATGTGTATATGAAACTTGAAAGTATCAATTTTACACACATTACAATTAACTGGTAATAACTTATGGTCGGAATGAGATGTGGTCCGTGCAAGTAATAATGCCATTTTATTATAATCTTTTTTGGTGAACACGAGGCGCGGGAAAATGTGTGCCGCGCAAGAATCCAATCATTTGGCTAGGTTTATGACTGTTTTTTTATGTCACACCTAAAAATAGAATGTTTACGCTTTCTTCATTGAGGATCGTTTTTATTATTTTTTAAACTGAAAGTATGAATTATTAGTTAGATTTTAGGTTTTGTAGCTTGGTATACTTACCCTTTATCAATTTTAAAAGCATAGCATGCTGATTGTGAACAAATAGTCATAAGACACAGAAATAAAAAGTTACATGCGATGTGCCCAACCCGGGTCACACCCCCTCAAGAAAACACGTGTTTATTAAGCTGTTTATCTCACTTTACAACAGTAATTAAAATTAATTGTCAAATTTTTATTACTTATTGGGTAATATTAAGCACATGTTTACTAATAGTTAAAAAGAAACATAAGTAAATTCTGTTTTAATGAAGGTCACGGGTCAAGTTTTTTTTCCTTCTTTCAAGTTCAGTGGAGGGTGCCACAGGCTGACCTGACTTTGGAATTTTTTTCAGTAATAATGACTTTGCACAGAAAGTTAAAATATGCTAAATTAGCTTAGTTTACTAGTATTCTAGCTATTATTAATACATTTTTAATAAAAAAATCATTCTGTAATTCTCATCAAAAAGCCTACTATCTGATATAAGATATATGATTATATGTAGACATTGATTTAGGTTTATTATTCATTTGACACAAATATATCACAATATACTTCTATTAAAGCCTTGACAATGAGGTAACTTTTTCGTACATTACTAGCCGCGGGCGATTTTACGTAGATTTCTATTTTCTAGATTACCACTTGTGACTTTTTTTTTTACTCAGACTAATTTAGTTAAATAGTTAGGCCTAGTGTAGTTAAGACTTTAGAAATTAAAATTGAAAAATTAGGCTACCTTTTTAAATTACAGATCGCTTAACTTAGAGGACTTAGATTTAAGTTTTAATAAAAATTATAAAAATTGGGCTACACATAGATTTAAAATCTATGAATCTTAAGACAAGTTATCAATTTTAAAATTTTAAAACAAAGAATATGCATTTGTTTACAGAACTGTTTTATTTCCGGTAACAGACTAAATACCGTACAAGTCAGTCATTTTAAATCTTCATAAAGAAAGATTTCGATAACCTACACTTTTTTGCTATTAGATTTTACTCAGTACTAACATTACCTAACAAACAAATTAATTAGGAAATAGTGGAGAAAAGTAAATCTTGACGTACATATTATAATATTTGTTCTAATGTAATTTTTATAATTGAAAGCATCAGAATTTTATTTTAAAAAAAAGACACCGTACAAAAAGAGACGAAACGTAAACGTGTTTATTTAAAATTTTATTTTAAATCTTACGGGCCTAATAATATTTTTATTTGATTTTAAACTTTTTAAGTCGTAGTCAGTTTAAAAATTTAGGAATTTTGATTCAGTACACAACAAATGACCACATTAGTAAAATAGACAAGGCGAAATAATCCACTCAGAAATCGGTGCTCTAAAAAAAAAAAAAAAAAAGAAAAAAAAGAAACAAATTTGTTCTGGATTTAGCTGATAGGTCTACTGTTAACAAAATAGATATAGATCCAGTTGTTTCTTCATTTTACCGTGGTTGGTTTCTATTTGGAGAATGGTGTGTATAATATGTAGTGAGTGAGAGAATGGGTGTGGATAGTGGGAGTTAGTTGGGTGAAATGAGTATCCCTGTACCGCCCCCCCCCCCCCCCCCGGAGAAAAATGTCTGGAAGAAACACTGGAAGTGAGGGTGATGTGGTGGGTTACGGGCTAATATGGGGTGTATGTTTTAATATGCTGTGTAAGTTTCGGGGTGTCGTGTTTGTTGCAGGGTGGGGCGTGGGGAGGTGTAATTCGGGGTGTGCGGCAGAGTGGTGTTGGGTTTGGTTTCAAAGTGTAGTGTGGGCACTGTGGTGCTTTGTCATGCTATTCCCCCTGTTGTTATTATCTCCCCTTTATTCTTTAAAATAATTCATTATGTGAAATTAATATTAATTTTACAATAATAATTAAAAAAAAACAACAAAGGTTGTATTGGGTGCCTTTCTTTTCTGTTTAATGTGCATTTTAAAGTTCACACCAATGCTATTAGAAAAAAATGACTGCTTTAACCATAACATGTTAGAAAATAACTAATTTTAAATGTGTTATCAGTTTTAAATTAAGGGGAAAGAACCGTAACGTTTATTCTCTTTGGTGATTAAAAATAAAGAGATGCTCAGTTGTAGCAAGATAAAAAAAAATAATTTATATTTAATTTGATGAAAACATTAAAATTGTATCACAATTTTGACTTTGCATTTGTATTTCTTAGATTTTTTATAAATTGATTTTTTTATTCTAGTTTAAACAGAAAACCTTCACTTCTTTTAAGCATCAAATTCGTAGAGATTTGAACAGTCTGCATTTTAAGTTGTCTATTTTAAGAAGAGTAGAAATAGATTAAAATTCATGTTTATATCCCGAGTTCCCTCCAATGTGTTTTTTCTTTTCACATTTTATACATTGTAAGTACTTATTCTTTTTTTATTTCTTGTGTGTGTTGCCTGGCCCCGGGTGGGCTTCACGCACAACTATGTCGGAAAAATACATCAAACGGCTATTCCTGCTTAAGTTTGGCATGGCAGGACATGCGCCAAAAACTCTAGAGATTTTCATAGAAGAGGGTTTTTCTTTAGCTACCCTCACAGCTGACTAAAAAGAGAGCTATGTATGTTATGTAGCCTATCACCAGCTGAATTTGAAGGTCTGTATAACTACGGGACACTGCGTAAATGGTATGTCACCATTAGATCAAAGGAACTATATGAGAAAATGCACCTAAAAGAATTTCACAGAGATTTGCCACCTGGGGTAACATCCAGATACAGAGTGCAGAGAATATCAATAACCCACGCCGATAAATCTGGGCAAAGGGGCATGCTGAAATGGCTCCCTTCCAAGACAAGCGACGATGATATAATGGCGATTCTGAAATCTATAAGCAGTCAGGACTCAACACCAACATTTAAGAGAATAGACCAATCAAATGTGGTCCAATTCACCATCTCTCTGGAGAAAGAAGATGTGGAGAGTGTCCCACACTATATTATACTTACAAATGAGGCCAACAAGGAGAGCAGGGTCCTTATAATCCTCAATGGGAGGAGGGTGCAATGTTGCCACTGCAATACAGACAGACACCTGCCTAAAATGTGTGAGCATTTGAGGACTCGCGCTCTTGACGGCGTCCAGCTAGTAGACGGACAGTACATGGCAATTGAGCCTTGGGATGCAAATGATAAAGAAGAAGTTAGGGAGCATCTAAGTAACAATAGAAATTTCTTAAAGCATTGGGACAGTTATGATGTTGACGGAGAAAGACAAAATGAAATGCTTAGAGAAGCAAGGCTTAGAGAGGTAGAAGATGCCTTTGGAGTAGATGGCCAAACTGAAGCACATCATACTACTGCAGCATCACAGCAAGTTAACGAAAGCGTAACAGAAACCACCATAAAGGCCGAAGCCATGGAGACAATAGCGATCAGAAATTCCATAGTAACAGGGTCTCAAAAAGATGGGAATCAAGAAAATTTGGAGGCTGTCGACGAAACAATAAATGATATTCTTCAAGATAACACTAGTTCAGAAGACATAACGAAACCGCTAAATGAAATTAAAAGCCCACAAAGTATATCAGTAACAAAGGTATCAGGTCAACTGTCATATAGTCAAGCAATCAGTTCAAGTAAAAATCAATTACCTACAGTAAAGCCACCTCAAAGGGTCGTGACCAGGGCCCAACGGGATAGCAAACCAGCGGCTGGAAAGTTTGGCGTTAAAAGACCACCACCATCCAGCCCTCCAGAAACAGATGTTCGAAAGAAAACCCCAAATAATTCATGCTAACTCTGGCAACATTGAACATCAGGGGGGCTAGGGACAAACACATTATATAAACAACATAATAAAAAAACACAATATTGACATCCTACTTTTACAGGAAACTAACATTTGAACTACAGAAGAAGCAAATAAACTAGATGCATAATTAATATCGACAGTCTCAAGCTAAACATCACTCGATCAGCCCTCAAGTAAATTAACATTAGAACAGTCTTCTGTTTCCCAGGTTTTTAAAAGTGCACAACCTGAATGGTAGAAAGAGATACACACCTCACCCCCTCCCCCCCACACACACACACTTCCCCCCACTCAACCGGACTGGCGGATTTTTCAAGGTAGCGTGCCCTCTTTGCCAAGGGTCAATTTTATGTCATGGAAAGTTTTGGAATGATAGATCAGTATGTGTACTGCAGAGACACTTCTCCCATGGTCGTTTCTATTTCTGTCCATGGATGGCTACAATGTGAACTTTTGACTCCTCAGTACAGTAAACTAAGCAGTCAAGAGAAACCTAGTTTGCACACCTTATTTTAGTCTAGTTCTTATGCCATTTTATTTTCTCCATTTGATTATTATATATGCAATTGATGTTCATGTCTTTGATGCTGTGTAAAATCTATCAAATAAATAATTATTACTGATTTAAATGTTTAAAACAATTGAATTAATAAAAAAATAAAAAATAAAAAGGAAAAAAAAACTAATTGAGGACTGTATAGATATAGATGTTTGAAAGGGAAGAGTGTTTGCTTTTACGTGTCTCATTGTAATAACATTGCTTTTCCGATTGCTTAAAATTTGTATCATTTTAATTCTCTGTAATCCCAAATTCATTTCAGCTCTACTTAAAAAAAAAAACAAATTCCCCCTCCCCCCCCCCCCCCCTCGTCCCCTCAGCCCACCACGCCGGGAAAAAAAAATCCATTGAATCATCATTTAATTACACATTTGCATTTTCAGTTTCAGGTTGGTTTTTAATTTTAATTTTTTCTTTATATTTAGACGTTTTGTATTAGATCTATGTATAAGTAAACCATCTTAAATGAATGAAAGCAGGCTACAAGTAAGAAAGAAATATTACTATTGTAAATCTGTATCAGTCCTCACAAGCCGATGATGAAAACTGTAATACTAAAGCGAACACACAACTGACGCTATAAATTACGTGTCTGAGGCAGAAAAAAAAATATCCCGAGTTCCCATCCCCTGTTTTTTTAATATAAGTATATTCCAGAAAGTTTTGGGGAGATTAAGCCCGGTTTATTTTCACGATTACACGTCTTTCTCTATACTTCGTATATAAGAGAACGTAAAAACGAATGCTAAATGTTTGGCCTACGAGACCAGGCGTAGAGTATTGGAGTATTGTTCAAACAAGTAGTTAAACAATTCAACAAATTTAAAGCATTTAACAGTTTTCTATTTAAATTATAGCTTAAAAATACATTTGAAATCCCATAAAGTATATACAATTGACAAAAATGTATATAAAATATTTAAAATACATATTATGCGTAATATATTAAAAAAAAAAAAAAAAAAAAAAAAAAAAGTCATATAAAGCACAACCACAAAGACACAAGGCAAATGATTAACTATGAGAATGATATGTTCTGAATAATTCCACTCATGCCCTGCTCAGTATTCATCAGCCTACAGACCTTTAAATGATGACAACTTTTTACTGAAAAATTGAACATGAAAGACGGTTTTCTCCCTTGATGAAAACGAATTGTAGTAATTGTAAATAAACATTTTAAAATAAAAAAAAAAAGTCATATAAAGCACTTGATAAATGCCAGGAACGTATATTATATTTAGCAAACAGTGTTGATGAGCCATTGTATTCAAAACTAATTTAGGCCTTGTGTGCTGAACATGCCAAGAAATTAGGAGAGTGGGCAGGTCTTTGCAAATTAGATAAGGAATGAAAAGTCAGAAAAGTCAATGCTTGTCATGGTGTTGTTGTTGTAAATGCTTATGGAATGGAGACACCAGCATTGGATGTTGTGAAGGATTACTTCAAGTCTAAGTAAATTTCCAGAAAGGTTTCATCAAGTATTATGCAGAGAATATCAACAACGTGTACCTCTGTTGGCATTATTTTAATGGAATAATGGTTCTTGTAATAAAAGATTAAAATGTTTGTGTGTTTTAAAAAAAGTATCTCTAAGACCTATATATGATAGGAATTTAAGTAGTGAACTCGTGCCCACCTAAGAAAAGAAAATTTAAAAAATAACTACCAGAAGCAATTTAAAGTTTACATCTAACTTGATCGAAAACCAAAACAAAAAAAAATCGATTGAAAGTAAAGGCATCATAATTTAGACTAATTATTCACAAAACGGTACTAATTATCCTCACGTGCGGCCAGCTAGCAGAGTTTCTTCCAGGCAAAGCCCCCCCCCCCCCCCCCGAAAAAATTCTTCCGCCCCCTGAACGAAATGAAATGTATTTAATTTATATAGAAAATATATACTTTTAACAGTGTGTGTCCCCGTCCCCCCCCGAAAATTTCAAGTGTCCCCCCCCCCCCGGGAGAAAAAAGTCTGGAAGAAACACTGCCAGCTAGTACCACTGGTTAGTCCAATGTGTACTAAAGGAGATACAGAATTTCTTTTGTACTATAAATAAGCGTATGGAATCAAACAATGACCCATGTATTCTACACATTAAACATTAAACCATATTTTCTCTGAGGTCCTCATCCGTGGTAAAGCCGTACCAACGATGTCCTTTGCTCTCTTTAGAACTGACTATGTTATGTATGCGTTGTTTGTCGTTTGTTTTTGGTATACTTAATGCTAGTGCTGGGCGTTCTTTTGTTTCGTAGGGTATCGTTAGGTAAAAACTGACAAGGCAGCCATTTTAGAATGGAATCGATCCAGGACACTCAAAAGTGGAGATTAATTAATTTTAAACCACCTTTTTTTATTACAAAGGAAATAAATCAATTAAAATGTCGGGCTGGTATAAATAAATAGAAATGTAGAATTTATGTAGCAATGCTCTCATTCTTATATTTCCCTTTGTTCTCAAGGCACACGAAACCGCCACAGAAAACTCTTTCAACCTTTGCCAGTACCTGGCAATTTTCTTGGCAGCCCCCAAGATACTCATGTTTCTGCCAATTGAACGATGCTCTACAAGTATTCAATTTTTAATTTGCCAATAGCACATTTAAAAAAAGAATTAACAGATTTAAAAAAAATATTTAAATCACCCACAATTTTTTTTTCCGAATTTGATTTTCTCCATTGCCTTTGAGCTCCTCGCTTCCAACTCACCAGGCACAGTATTTCATCGTAACCTGAAATAACTTAGTCTTCTTTGTTCCTTGTGAAAAGTAGGACCTCAGCCATAATCTTCCATTTTGTCCGGCCCTCGGGCTGTGAATTTCCCCGTCTCCCAAGACATCCCTGCGGTGTTTAGTTCTTGATCTAGATCCCGCATCAAGGCTATCATGGCGCCATCTTTTTTCACTCCCATGGGGGAGGGAGGGGGGGGGGGGTTCCACTCAAGCGTCTGATGTGTCATTCTTAAGTGTGCCTTTCGCCACATCCTCTTCAGAATCTGTCTGAGACATTTGTTAATGAAGGTCCGTATCTTGTCTATGGGGTCATCCATAAATGACGTCACGCTTTTTTTGGACGATTTTTACCCCTCCGTCACACGTTGTCACAAAAAACCAGACCCCCCCCCCTAAAATGACGTCACACCTCAACCTACAACCTCCCTCAAAATTGCAGTTGAATTTTTTAAAAACATCGATATTTTTCCAAAATCTTGACTAAACTATTACAATTTATTAAAACAGTTATCTAAAACGGGAAATAACGTCTAAAATTAGTTTTCTAACATTGCTTTTTTATAATGCAAACATGTGACATCGCAACATCTGAACCCCCCCCCCCCCCTCCCCCTCCCCCTCATCACATATCGTCGCAAAATTACGGACCCCCCTCCCCCCTACGAGTGTGACGTCATTTATGGATGACCCCTATGCTGCTTGTGGTGACTCTCCATACCTGTGCCCCATATATCAAGACCACAATTTAAATTTAGAATTATATTTAGAATCATATCACAAGCTTTTAGTTAACTTGCTTTCTCTGTATATCTGTTGTCGTCATAGATCGAAACGGGCGAGCGAAATTTCGAGCACTACTAACTGACCGATTCGTTTTCAACTTTGGCACGTGGGTCGAGACCCGAAGACAATACAATCTGACATCAAATTTGACTTGAGAAAAGCGTGGGTCACTACATTATCTATTGAATACAGTTACTAAAATTTAAGAAGCGACCCACGCTTTTCTTTACAGTTATTTAAATGGTACTGTATTATTACATATTTAAAGAACATAATTTATTTTCTCCTTTTTAGCGCATTACTACATAAAGGCTTGTTATTAAAACGTTTTTATGCATTAAAAAATAGTAATAGATCTTTAAAAACACTCGATTGAGCTGACAATTTCTTACCTGTTCAAAGTCTTCAATAGCAGTAGTTTTAGTCCTAATAAAACACTTTACACACAAAAAAAGATTATCAAATGCAATCGTTTTAGTAAAATAAGATTAGTATTTAAATTAACATACTAATAATATCTGTCCAGCCTAAGCGCGTGCGCAAAATATAAACTCAATTGTTTTTAAATGAAATAACTCTTTTATGTTATTCACTGTCTTCACTAGTTAATTAATCAATAGTGTTTCAAACTTTCCGTCAACTAGACCAACCTCTATTATACTTGCTGTTGGTGCAGTCATTTTAGAATGGAATCGGCCCAGGACATTCTCAATCTCAAAGTGGAGATTTATTCTTTTTAAACCAGTTTTAATTACAAAGGAAATAAGTAAGATTAAATGTCGGGCTTGGGTGAATAAATAGAAATGTAGAATTTATTTTTCAAGTTCTCTGCATTTGTACATTTTAGAAATCTTAAAAATTTTAAATATCAATTTTTTTTCAGCTTTAGTTTAAATTAAAAAAAATTATAATAGTGTAAAGCTTATCAGAAGACAAAATACTAAAACACTTTTTGGTCCAAGTCAACGATTTGACTCGTCTCAGCCAACCCGGCCAATGCGATGGAAAAATGTGGCAAATTTCAATTTCCTGCAGGACGAATGTTGAATATCTGCTGCAAGGTGATGCGAAACTGAGAGCTCATGGCGAAAAAGATGAAGAAGTTAGCGGTGGAGTTGATGAAGTCAAGGATGAAGCAGGAGTAGGCCAGCACGAAGAAAAGGTTGTGGTAGGTCTTCAGCAGGTACAGTTCCGGCTCGAAGAACTTGGCTATAAATAGCGCAATGCGAGGCGTCAAAGCGAAGATGTAGACAATGATGATAGCCAGAAGCATTTTCACCACTTGCTTGTCTCGCGATCCTAGACCTTGTGTGTTTTCGGCGTTGGGTTTGGCAATATGAGGATTTTTGACGTCCGCGACTAATTTTTTGTTGGAGTTTCGGAATTTCGACGATTTCTGTAGCTGGTAGGAGATGATGAAGGTGCTGATGGAGATGACGACGAGACTTGTGAAAGGCCAGAGGATGCCGAGGGTGTTGTAGTAGGGCACCACGACGTCCACGTTTCGCCAGTAGAACTGGCTGAAGGTGTAGGTGCCCACGGTCTGGTTGTAGACGGCGCTTATCTCCCATATGTAGTCGTAGAAGGCGAACACGACGCCGAAAGAGCCGTAGGTGACGAGGGATAGGATGCTCATGGTGACCCAGGTGAACCGGGGGGTGAGGATTGACTTCACGGTGAACGGAATCAGCACACACAGGCACCGTTCTACAGCCACGTACCCCGCCAGCACACTGGACGTGTACACGGCAAACGTTTGAACGAAAGCGAGGCTGGCGCGCGTGAAGTTTTCCCACGTTTTAGCCAGAACGAGGTTGTGGAGTAGGATAGGACCGTAGAGACGGTGTAATAACCCGGAGGAGGATTTGACGAGGTCGAAGAACGCCATGAAGGACATGGAGATGTTGACCGTGGTTTTGTAACCTTGGCGGTAGAAGACGGCGAGGTCAAGGATGTTGGTGATGATGCCCACGAAGCAGAGGGCGGAGCAGATGCAGAGGTCGAAGACGATCTCGATGAGGACGCGCATGGCGCCGGTCACGATGCGGTCGGGCGGGACGAATGGGGAGGGTTTGGATGACGTGGACAGAATGACGACACTGGTCACCACGCTGATGTTCTGCATTTTGTTGTGTGTTGTTTTTGTTCAGGTGTGTTTGAGGTCAGGGTGTGCTCTAGAAGTGTGACGTCACCACTGTTCCTGGGTCATAGCGCGCTTTCAGCTGATGACGCGTGATGTTCTTTGCGACGTCAGAGCTAGATTTGTAACCAATTTTAGGCAAGAGTTACGACTCTTGTAACCAACATTAGTTACGTCCCCTGTTTCGCTTACCTGAGGGTTTGTTTAACGTCATCAGTCAGTGGCTTGCGTTAAGTAAACAAATAATTGTGTCTTTAGACTATGCTCGAGACTAACTCTGTCTGTGACTGTTACTGTAGCTATGCTCAAGGCCGATGATATCTTACCCTGGTTGTAACTTAACCCAAGTTTTCTAGAACATGTTCTCAACACTGGTCGTGTGTACAGCCAAATCAACTCTGCAACCTGTCTGTAACTACTGTTTGAGCCATTGGCTTCTCACTTGCTTCAAGGCGAACACACGAGGAAACCTTGGTCTTTGGTAAAATACACAGGAAACTCTCCGCTTTAGTAAAACAATGGCGAGTTGAACAAAAGAGTAAAGTTTTCTTCAGGCTACTTTGGCTGACCAGAAAAGTAAAGTTTTCTTCAGGCTACTTTGGCTGACCAGAAAAGTAAAGTTTTCTTCAGGCTACTTTGGCTGACCAGAAAAGTAAAGTTTTCTTCAGGCTACTTTGGCTGACCAGAAAAGTAAAGTTTTCTTCAGGCTACTTTGGCTGACCGGAAAAGTAAAATTTTCTTCAGGCTACTTTGACTGACCAGAAAAGTAAAGTTTTCTTCAGGCTACTTTGGCTGACCGGAAAAGTAAAGTTTTCTTCAGGCTACTTTGACTGACCAGAAAAGTAAAGTTTTCTTCAGGCTACTTTGGCTGACCGGAAAAGTAAAGTTGAGTTCATTAGAACTAGTGTCTTTCATCCATCTGAAACAAAGAAATAAAATAGAACAGCCCATGCTAGATTAACTAGACGTTTCACTTAAAATAAACTTACAACAGTAATCTTTCGGAATAATTGGTATAATTTTAATTCAAATTTGTTTTGAAGATTATATCACATTGCATGATATAATGAGCAAACACGGTTTTGAACTCAAACATAAGAAATGACAGCACCAAGATCCGAACTCCACTAAATTGCCGTGTCTCAAATGTCAAGACAATCACTATACAACGGGAGTGTTTGAGGAAATAATTAAATCATCTAAATTGGACTGAACAAAGCTTGTCTAACTAAACACAGACCACGACAAGAACAGTCACTCGTGGTGTCTGCTAATTATCAAGGGAGATAATGATATCTCATTAGTTTTTTTTTTGCGTTAATTAAAATTGTTTGCGTTGAAAACTGGCAGGGAACATCTAGAGTTGTCTCATTAATCTGACGGATCTGATCCATGTTTTATATAGAGTTAATCTCGCGATTCAACGCTCGGCCTTGTTTTTCCTCTTCGTTCTGAACTGTAATATTGTAGGACTTTTCCTTCAACACATTTACGTACAACATGCCGACGTGTTATGCGTCATATAGCCCGTTGATTTAAATTTCAGCATGTTTTTTTTTTTCTGTCAGGATTAGCTTCCAAGTTCCACTGCATTTGTTCATCCAAGAACAAACTACGGGGCCCTGGCAGCGGTTGTTTGATGTTGGAGTTTTTCTTTCCTAGATGGGTTGCTGTCTCAAGCGAACGAGCCTCATCAGCTCGGGGTTTGAACTCAGGACTTTATGAGTTTTTCTCTCCTAGATGGGTTGCTGTCTCAAGCGAACGAGCCTCATCAGCCCGGGGTTTGAACTCAGGACTTTAAGGAGTTTTTCTCTCCTAGATGGGTTGCTGTCTCAAGCGAACGAGCCTCATCAGCCCGGGGTTTGAACTCAGGACTTTAAAGTTTTCTCTCCTAGATGGGCTGCTGTCTCAAGCGAACGAGCCTCATCAGCCCGGGGGTTGAACTCAGGACTTTAAAGAGTTTTCTCTCCTAGATGGGCTGCTATACCCAGATGACGAACCTCATTAGCCCGGGGGGTCCGAACTTCCATGCATAGAGCGGAGAAAAACAGCTCAAGACGTACTCACGTTGAACTGAAAACGCGTGCAAATAACAACTCACCCACGTTATTACAAACATATTACCCTGCAAAGAAACTACATCACACGATCACTTCATATGCGGAGCTCAGAGAAACAGATGGACTCTACTTTATCTACCATACCGTCAGATCTGAAAGGGTACTTTATCTACAAACAACGTGTGTAAGGTCTATACTTAATAACAATTCCGTATGAGTCAAGCCAAAATAAGACGAGATTTATAGGAATCTCTTCCCATTGTCAACAGATTTCATAATTTGGATTGTTGTTTGTTTTGATACGCTTGGTGCGATCAAAACATTCAGCCAGCTCCGTAATTATCCGAGTTCTATAATTAGCTGTTGTCACTTCCTTAGAACTTTGACTCGACAGGTGTGATTTAAAGCAAAAAATCGAGCCTCGACAAGCGCTAATTTCCCGCGCGACTGATCCTGATTGTTAATTGGACACCGCACGTGATCGCCCAGCCGCATCCAGTCACGTGCCAATCAAAGCACGTGCCGCCGCGTGGGTCCGCGACAAACAACAATTAAGTTTTTTAGTTTGCCCATAACTGGTGGTTAAGATGGGGAGCAAAGGTTTTGTTTTGTGGCTACTTGTAATGAGTAGAATTACAGCCTTCCGTCTATACTACACAAAGACATTGCTATTTCTATTGATTTACTATTTTTAAACCAGAATCTAACCTCAATCCCAGACAGTTGAAAGATATATATATATATATATATATATATATATATATATATATATATATATATATATATATATATATATATAAACCACGATTATATACATATATATGTGTATATATATTATCACTATATATATAGATTATCACTATATATATATTATATACTATATATATATATATATATATATATATATATATATATATATATATATATATAATATGTATATATATATATACATATATATATATATATATATATATATATATATATATATATATATATATATATATATATATATATATATATATATATATATATATATATAATCCTGTGTAAAAATAAATAACTGTTTCCTTTCACATTTCTTTGTTAATTAAATTCTAATTTCCCAAATATTTTATGTTGACGTTCTTTTTTGTCCAGGGTGTTTATTGACTCCACGCCATTGATGTGTCAACAAATGAACACTAGTCATTAGAAGTGGATTAACGTGTGTCCCAACTGTTGGTAGATTATCGCTAGACAGGAAGTGCTGGTCCACTATGACTAGCACAATCGGATGTTACGTCACCGCCCTAGCTCTACCCCGGCCAGGTTGTTTATATTTTACATTTAATAAAACCTTTTCATTACAACCTTATGATTGATGCAATCTTTCATCTCGATTGATTTCAACGCCCTACTGTAATGGGGGACTTTACATAAACTTTTCCTCATTCGGATCAGTCGCCTGAAGGCGTAGACAAGGTGTGTCATCTTCATTTGCTTCCCCTGAATCTGATCTAAGGTTAGTTTTATTTAATGGTCTTACCTAACGCTGTTTCATGGGGGTATTCAAACGAATACATTTTTATCCCAGTGGATTGTAATAGGCTGCCCTGAGTCGCATCTGCCTGGGCAGCAGATGGGTACCGTATCGGTGGGGGCTGTGGGGTTAATGCAGGTCAGGCATCAGATGCTGGGGCCATGCCGGTCAGTGTATGCAGCGGGACGAATTATGCTTCTATGTTTTGTGATGTGTACAGCGGTAGAGAGCTGGACTGCGAACCCGTAAGTCTCGAGTTCGAATCCGTGTTCAAGTCACTAGACCGTCCTTGAGTCCACCCAACTCTGATGGGTACCTAACTCAATTAGGGAAAGTAAAGGCTGCTGGGCATAGTGCTGACAACACTATCTCTTCATATGCCGAGGTCACAGAAACAAGTGAACTCTACTTCACTTGCACCATAGAGCGTCAGGTTTGAAAGGGAAACTTTAATTTTACATAAAGATAAGCTTCTATGTATTGTCATGTGTTCATAAAGATAATCTTCTATTTCCTCTTATGTGTACATAAAGATAAGCTTCTATGTCTTGTGATGTGTACATAAAGATAATCTTCTATGTCTTGTGATGTGTGCATAAAGATAATCTTCTATGTCTTGTGATGTGTGCATAAAGATAATCTTCTATGTCTTGTGATGTCTTTACAAAGCTAATATTTTATGTCTTCAGATGTGTACAAAAAATAATTCTCCTTGTTATGGTCCTATGATGTAGGCAGTAATGTTACATTATACAAAACCACAATAAATTTTAAACTATGCTCCAAAATGCACAATATATAAAAAATCATTAGTTTGTTTGAGAATATATGTGATATAGTAAAGTCTTAGATTTGTTTTGATACTAAAAAAAAAAAAATCACAAAGATAATAAAAATAAAACGATCAAAGACATTTTAAAGATTCGTTTTAAAATACAAATTTTATTTTTAAATATATTTCCGGATCAATAATAAACATTTGGCAGCGCAAACCGAAATATTAGGTAAAATACAAATCGAAAATTTTTGTTTTAGTATCCGTAGTTATTTGATTGGTAGATTGGTTGATATACTATCGGCTTACTAGGATAGACTGAAGGAGAAACGACAGGTTGCTTCGTAGGTGTGTTGGCATAGCTTGATGGTGTGTTGGTATAACTTGATGGGGTGTTAGTATAGCTAGATGGGGTGTTGGCATAGCTTGATGGAGAGCTCACATAGCTGGATGGCTTGCTAGCATAGCTAGATGGGGTGTTGGCATAGCTTGATGGGGTGTTGGCATAGCTTGATGGGGTGTTGGCATAGCTTGATGGGGTGTTGGCATAGCTGGATGGGGTGTTGGCATAACTGGATGGGGTGTTGGCATAGCTAGATGGGGTGTTGGCATAGCTTGATGGGGTGTTGGCATAGCTAGATGGGGTGTTGGCATAGCTGGATGGGGTGTTGGCATAGCTAGATGGGGTGTTGGCATAGCTAGATGGGGTGTTGGCATAGCTAGATGGGGTGTTGGCATAGCTGGATGGGGTGTTGGCATAGCTAGATGGGGTGTTGGCATAGCTGGATGGGGTGTTGGCATAGCTTGATGGGGTGTTGGCATAGCTTGATGGGGTGTTGGCATAGCTTGATGGAGAGCTCACATAGATGGATGGGGTGTTGGCATAGCTGGATGGGGTGTTGGCATAGCTGGATGGGGTGTTGGCATAGCTTGATGGGGTGTTGGCATAGCTGGATGGTGTGTTGGCATAGCTTGATGGGGTGTTGGCATAGCTGGATGGTGTGTTGGCATAGCTGGATGGGGTGTTGGCATAGCTTGATGGGGTGTTGGCATAGCTGGATGGTGTGTTGGCATAGCTTGATGGGGTGTTGGCATAGCTGGATGGTGTGTTGGCATAGCTGGATGGGGTGTTGGCATAGCTTGATGGGGTGTTGGCATAGCTGGATGGAGAGCTCACATAGCTGGATGGGGTGTTGGCATAGCTGGATGGAGAGCTCACATAGCTGGATGGTTTGCTAGCATAGCTTGATGGTGTGTTGGCATAGCTTGATGGGGTGTTGGCATAGCTGGATGGTGTGTTGGCATAGCTTGATGGGGTGTTGGCATAGCTTGAGGGAGTTACATAATCTGACTGGGTTTTCGTGTATGTGAGAACATTGTTTGCATACACGCTAGGAGCACTTGGGTAACTTGAAGGAGAGCTCACATAGCTAGATGGTGTGTTGGCATAGCTGGATGGGGTGTTGGCATAGCTAGATGGGGTGTTGGCATAGCTTGATGGGGTGTTGGCATAGCTGGATGGGGTGTTGGCATAGCTGGATGGGGTGTTAGCATAGCTTGATGGTGTGTTGGCATAGCTTGATGGAGAGCTCACATAGCTGGATGGTTTGCTAGCATAGCTTGATGGGGTGTTGGCATAGCTAGATGGTGTGTTGGCATAGCTTGATGGTGTGTTGGCATAGCTGGATGGGGTGTTGGCATAGCTTGATGGGGTGTTGGCATAGCTGGATGGGGTGTTGGCATAGCTTGATGGGGTGTTGGCATAGCTGGATGGGGTGTTAGCATAGCTGGATGGAGAGCTCACATAGCTGGATGATTTGCTAGCATAGCTGGAAAGGGTGTTGGCATAGCTGGATGGGGTATTGGCATAGCTGGATGGGGTGTTGGCATAGCTGGATGGGGTGTTGGCATAGCTGGATGGGGTGTTGGCATAGCTAGATGGGGTGTTGGCATAGCTTGATGGGGTGTTGGCATAGCTAGATGGGGTGTTGGCATAGCTGGATGGGGTGTTGGCATAGCTAGATGGGGTGTTGGCATAGCTAGATGGGGTGTTGGCATAGCTAGATGGGGTGTTGGCATAGCTGGATGGGGTGTTGGCATAGCTTGATGGGGTGTTGGCATAGCTGGATGGGGTGTTGGCATAGCTTGATGGGGTGTTGGCATAACTGGATGGGGTGTTGGCATAGCTTGATGGGGTGTTGGCATAGCTAGATGGGGTGTTGGCATAGCTGGATGGGGTGTTGGCATAGCTAGATGGGGTGTTGGCATAGCTTGATGGGGTGTTGGCATAGCTAGATGGGGTGTTGGCATAGCTAGATGGGCTGTTGGCATAGATGGATGGGGTGTTGGCATAGCTAGATGGTGTGTTGGCATAGCTGGATGGGGTGTTGGCATAGCTTGATGGGGTGTTGGCATAGCTGGATGGTGTGTTGGCATAGCTTGATGGGGTGTTGGCATAGCTGGATGGTGTGTTGGCATAGCTGGATGGGGTGTTGGCATAGCTTGATGGGGTGTTGGCATAGCTGGATGGAGAGCTCACATAGCTGGATGGGGTGTTGGCATAGCTGGATGGAGAGCTCACATAGCTGGATGGTTTGCTAGCATAGCTTGATGGTGTGTTGGCATAGCTTGATGGGGTGTTGGCATAGCTGGATGGTGTGTTGTCATAGCTTGATGGGGTGTTGGCATAGCTTGAGGGAGTTACATAATCTGACTGGGTTTTCGTGTATGTGAGAACATTGTTTGCATACACGCTAGGAGCACTTGGGTAACTTGAAGGAGAGCTCACATAGCTAGATGGTGTGTTGGCATAGCTGGATGGGGTGTTGGCATAGCTTGATGGGGTGTTGGCATAGCTGGATGGGGTGTTGGCATAGCTTGATGGGGTGTTGGCATAGCTGGATGGGGTGTTGGCATAGCTGGATGGAGAGCTCACATAGCTGGATGATTTGCTAGCATAGCTGGAAAGGGTGTTGGCATAGCTGGATGGGGTATTGGCATAGCTGGATGGGGTGTTGGCATAGCTGGATGGTGTGTTGGCATAGCTTGATGGGGTGTTGGCATAGCTTGATGGGGTGTTGGCATAGCTTGATGGAGAGCTCACATAGCTGGATGGAGAGCTTACATAGCTGGATGGTGTGTTGGCATAGCTGGATGGGGTGTTGGCATAGCTGGATGGGGTGTTGGCATAGCTGGATGGAGAGCTCACATAGCTGGATGGGGTGTTGGCATAGCTTGATGGGGTGTTGGCATAGCTGGATGGTGTGTTGGCATAGCTAGATGGGGTGTTGGCATAGCTAGATGGGGTGTTGGCATAGCTTGATGGAGAGCTCACATAGCTGGATGGTTTGCTAGCATAGCTTGATGGGGTGTTGGCATAGCTTGATGGGGTGTTGGCATAGCTTAATGGGGTGTTGGCATAGCTAGATGGGGTGTTGGCATAGCTTGATGGGGTGTTGGCATAGCTTGATGGGGTGTTTGCATAGCTAGATGGGGTGTTGGCATAGCTGGATGGGGTGTTGGCATAGCTAGATGGGGTGTTGGCATAGCTAGATGGGGTGTTGGCATAGCTAGATGGGGTGTTGGCATAGCTAGATGGGGTGTTGGCATAGCTGGATGGGGTGTTGGCATAGCTGGATGGAGAGCTCACATAGCTGGATGGGGTGTTGGCATAGCTTGATGGGGTGTTGGCATAGCTTGAGGGAGTTACATAATCTGACTGGGTTTTCGTGTATGTGAGAACATTGTTTGCATACACACTAGGAGCACTAGGGTAACTTGAAGGAGAGCTCACATAGCTAGATGGTGTGTTGGCATAGCTGGATGGGCTGTTGACATAGCTAGATGGGGTGTTGGCATAGCTTGATGGGGTGTTGGCATAGCTTGATGGAGAGCTCACATAGCTGGATGGTTTGCTAGCATAGCTAGATGGGGTGTTGGCATAGCTAGATGGGGTGTTGGCATAGCTTGATGGGGTGTTGGCATAGCTGGATGGGGTGTTGGCATAGCTAGATGGAGAGCTCACATAGCTGGATGGTTTGCTAGCATAGCTAGATGGGGCGTTGGCATAGCTAGAAGGGGTGTTGGCATAGCTTGATGGGGTGTTGGCATAGCTTGATGGGGTGTTGGCATAGCTTGATGGTGTGTTGGCATAGCTGGATGGGGTGTTGGCATAGCTTGATGGCTTGCTAGCATAGCTGGATGGGCTGTTGGCATAGCTTGATGGAGAGCTCACATAGCTTGATGGGGTGTTGGCATAGCTTGATGGTTTGCTAGCATAGCTGGATGGGCTGTTGGCATAGCTTGATGGAGAGCTCACATAGCTGGATGGGGTGTTGGCATAGATGGATGGGGTGTTGGCATAGCTTGATGGGGTGTTAGCATAGCTTGATGGAGAGCTCACATAGCTGGATGGAGAGCTCACATAGCTTGATGGGGTGTTGGCATAGCTTGATGGGGTGTTGGCATAGCTGGATGGGGTGTTGGCATAGCTAGATGGGGTGTTGGCATAGCTTGATGGGGTGTTGCCATAGCTGGATGGGGTGTTGGCATAGCTTGATGGGGTGTTGGCATAGCTAGATGGGGTGTTGGCATAGCTTGATGGGGTGTTGGCATAGCTGGATGGCTTGCTAGCATAGCTGGATGGGGTGTTGGCATAGCTTGATGGGGTGTTGGCATAGCTGGATGGGGTGTTGGCATAGCTGGATGGGGTGTTGGCATAGCTGGATGGCTTGCTAGCATAGCTGGATGGGGTGTTGGCATAGCTTGATGGGGTGTTGGCATAGCTGGATGGGGTGTTGGCATAGCTGGATGGGGTGTTGGCATAGCTGGATGGCTTGCTAGCATAGCTGGATGGGGTGTTGGCATAGCTTGATGGGGTGTTGGCATAGCTGGATGGGGTGTTGGCATAGCTTGATGGGGTGTTGGCATAGCTGGATGGGGTGTTGGCATAGCTGGATGGCTTGCTAGCATAGCTGGATGGGGTGTTGGCATAGCTTGATGGGGTGTTGGCATAGCTGGATGGGGTGTTGGCATAGCTTGATGGGGTGTTGGCATAGCTGGATGGGGTGTTGGCATAGCTAGATGGAGAGCTCACATAGCTAGATGGGGTGTTGGCATAGCTTGATGGGGTGTTGGCATAGCTGGATGGGGTGTTGGCATAGCTAGATGGAGAGCTCACATAGCTAGATGGGGTGTTGGCATAGCTTGATGGAGAGCTCACATAGCTTGATGGAGAGCTCACATAGCTTGATGGTGTGTTGGCATAGCTGGATGGGGTGTTGGTATAGCTTGAGGGAGTTACATAATCTGACAGGGTTTTCGTGTATGTGACAACATTGTTTGCATACACGCTAGGAGCACTTGGGTAACTTGAAGGATAGCTCACATAGCTGGATGGGGTGTTGGCATAGCTGGATGGAGAGCTCACATAGCTGGATGGGGTGTTGGCATAGCTTGATGGGGTGTTGGCATAGCTTGAAGGGGTGTTGGCATAGCTTGAAGGGGTGTTGGCATAGCTAGATGGTGTGTTGGCATAGCTTGCTGGAGAGCTCACATAGCTGGATGGGCTGTTGGCATAGCTTGATGGAGAGCTCACATAGCTTGATGGTGTGTTGGCATAGCTTGTATAAGTGGAGGGTACCTTTCCATAGTTAGACGTAGAACCAGTGTATGCAGAAGGATAACTGTTGTAGACAGAAGGACTGCCAACCCTGCTTGTGTATTGAGATGCTGGATAGTAAGTTTGCCTCTGCAGAGCAAAAAAAACAACAACTTTAAAGCCCGACCGGTTTTTTTTTTTGTTAAATTTCTCTTCCAATTGTAATTGATTAGAGCTTTTTAAAGTCACATATTTATATTTCGAACCTTCTTGCGGGTCATAAAAATTTTGATTTTATTTAAAAAAATAAATTCAAATGACGTCATAAGTCTAGTCTGTACGAGTAAAAAGCTTGAAAAGAGGTCCGTAATTGTATTAGTCAAAAAACTTTTTTTTGAACAGAATTTGAATATTTTATAAATTTTTTGTTTAAATTAGTTACAAAATTACTTTGGTTTTAGTAAGACTAGAAATTTCCAAACAAGTAGTTATTATTCATATAATATTTAAGCATAATAGTCTTAAAATAGCGAGCGGATTACAATAAAAAGATATGCAAATACAATTTTAACATCTTGAATCGGACTGAAAAATTTCACCATTTGTAATTTTTTCTACTTTCAATTTTTCAAAAGCCTATAACTATTTCAAATAGATAAATGAAATTTCACATGTAAGTAAAAAATCTAATTCTACGCCTTCTGTCAAATTTGAGTAATTTCCCTTGACCGGAAGTAGTAATTTACGCTATTTCCGATTTCTCAAAAAAAAAAAATGCATGTGAATTTATAAAGTACTAATAATATTCCGCACTATTATGCACATTTTGTTTGGAGTTCACTTGGTGTGAAATTCTTTTTTCTACGTGATTTTATTCTATTTTAAAAAGTTTAAGTATTTAAAATGGATTAAAAATCTTGTCTATATCCCGAGTTGCCATCCCCTGTTGTTTTATATAAGAATATTCGAGAAATTTTAGGGGAGATCACTCCCGTTTTTTTTGTTCATCTTTCGTCGTATGAACGATTTGTTTACTTTATCATGTTAAGCATTGGTTGCGACTTTTTTTTTTTTTTTTTCTTTTTGTTTTTTTTTTACTTTCCCTGGCCACTCCGGTCGCCTCAATGAAAGGTACAGGACGTTTTTTTTTTGTTTTAAATTGATATAATAAATCTAAAATTATTTTCAACGGCTTATTTTCGATACAAAAATATGAAAATGAATGCAATCGATGGTTTCTAAACGACTTTAATTTTTTTTTTTAAAATAATAACCATAATTTTTAAATTTTTAATTTTTAAATTCTTTAGAATGATTTTATAGATTTTGAACCACTTTTCAAGGCAATACATGCGTCATTTGCTAATTAATGAGACACTATTGTGTAGCATCATTTGGGGAGTAGTTTGGTTAAGTCGTCATTGATGAATTATGTCATACAACGCTGTTGCCAACTAATTTTACTTTATGCAATTAATGTATCATATAACTAGAGGAATCATAATCAGGCTAGGGCTTTCTTCTTCTTCTGTGTTTTTAATTTTAGTGTTGGAAGAGATTCCCTCCAACACAATCAAGTGTACCACTCAACTTCTTATGCGCCGTATAGGCCGTTGACTCTGATGATTTCAGCCAGCTTTTCTTTTTGGATTTGTCTCCACAGCCTGTTTACAACCAAGAACATACTACAAGGCAGCAGTTGTTTGATTTAGGAGTTGTCTCTCCTAGAAGAGTTGCCTCTCCTAGCATCATGTGCTCGAGGGTTCGAACTCCAGGCGACTTTGATTTCAAATGTAACAGAGCAACTATAACACCATGTTGTCTAAAACAGTCTATGATAGTATAATATAACGGCGCTTTAGACTTAAACGTATTAGTGTGGCTTTAAGACAAGTTGGCTAGTCTGTTTTAAATGTAATGGGACAACTATCTTCATTATAAAATAAGTCACTAGGCAGTTAGCGAACAAAAGCTATTAGCTGTCCTTCTAGCTGTCTTAACACTGTACTACTAACTGTCTTAATACTGTCCTACTAACTGTCTTAACACTGTCCTACTAGCTGTCTTAACACTGTCCTACTAACTGTCTTAACACTGTCCTACTAACTGTCTTAACACTTCCCAACTAACTGTCTTAACACTGTCCTACTAACTGTCTTAACACTTTCCTACTAACTGTCTTAACACTGTCCTACTAACTGTCTTAACACTGTCCTACTAACTGTCTCAACACTGTCCAACTAACTGTCTTAACACTGTCCTACTAGCTGTCTTAACACTGTCCTACTAACTGTCTCAACACTGTCCAACTAACTGTCTTAACACTGTCCTACTAACTGTCTCAACACTGTCCAACTAACTGTCTTAACAATGTCCTACTAACTGTCTCAACACTGTCCTACTAACTGTCTTAACACTGTCCTACTAACTGTCTCAACACTGTCCAACTAACTGTCTTAACACTGTCCTACTAGCTGTCTTAACACTGTCCTACTAACTGTCTCAACACCGTCCAACTAACTGTCTTAACACTGTCCTACTAACTGTCTTAACACTGTCCTACTAACTGTCTCAACACTGTCCAACTAACTGTCTTAACACTGTCCTACTAGCTGTCTTAACACTGTCCTACTAACTGTCTTAACACTGTCCTACTAACTGTCTTAACACTTCCCAACTAACTGTCTTAACACTGTCCTACTAACTGTCTTAACACTATCCTACTAGCTGTCTTAACACTGTCCTACTAACTGTCTTAACACTGTCCTACTAACTGTCTTAACACTTCCCAACTAACTGTCTTAACACTGTCCAACTAACTGTCTTAACACTATCCTACTAGATGTCTTAACACTATCCTACTAGATGTCTTAACACTATCATACTAACTCTCTTAACACTGTCCTTCTGTCTTAACACTGCCCACTTAACTGTCTTAACACTGTCCTACTAACTGTCTTAACACTGTCCTACTAACTGTCTTAACAATGCCCTTCTGTCTTAACACTGCCCAACTAACTCTCTTAACACTGTTTTACTAACTGTCTTAACACTGTCCTTCTGTCTTAACACTGTCCTACTAACTGTCTTAACACTGTCCTACTAACTGTCTTAACACTGTCCTACTATCTGTCTTAACACTGTCCTACTTATTGTCTTAACACTGTCCTACTAACTGTATTGACACTGTCTTACTAACTGTCTTAACACTGCCCAACTAACTCTCTTAACACTGTCCTTCTGTCTTAACACTGTCCTACTAACTGTCTTAACACTGTCTTACTAGCTGTCTTAACACTGTCCTACTAACTGTCTTAACACTGTCCTACAAGCTGTCTTAACACTGTCCTACTAACTGTCTTAACACTGTCCTACTAACTGTCTTAACACTGTCCTACTAACTGTCTTAACACTGTCCTACTAACTGTCTTAACACTGTCCTACTAACTGTCTTAACACTGTCCTACTAGCTGTCTTAAAACTGTCCTACTAGCTGTCTTTACACTGTCCTACTAACTGTCTAAACACTGTCCTATATACTCTCTAAACACTTTCTTAATGTCTTAACACTGTCCTACTAGCTGTCTTAACACTGTCCTACTAACTGTCTAAACACTGTCCTATATACTCTCTAAACACTTTCTTAATGTCTTAACACTGTCCTACTAGCTTTCTTCACATTGTCCTACTAGCTGTCTTAGCACGTCTTATATAACAGTATTAACACTTCCCTACTAGCTGTCTTAACATTCTCCTGTCTTAACACTGCCCTACTAACTGTCTTAACACTGCCCAACAAACTGTCTAAACACGGCCCTGCTAGGTACTAAGCCAACCAAGTACTCACGGTATAAGCAGCCTGAGCGCCAACGATGAAGACGAAAAAAAGTGATGAGACCAACAGACCAGCCATGATGTTTTTGATGATGGTGAAGCAACTGTACCCTCAACCCAGCTCACCTGGATCTTATATACCCCACCATCGTACGTCACTCAAGACAATAGAACCGTGACTGACGTAAGGAGATGATCCTAAGGTTAATCCCACCTCGTCACCACCCCCACGGGGACATGTTGGGCACAGATAACGGGGCATTTAAATTTAAAATCTGATTTTTATTTCCTCCCTTGAAGTTTATTTCAATTGTTTTCTTCTTTTTCCCCCGAACAGGTTGTGTCCCCTGAGACCTTTATTATGAAGATATGGGAGATAATCAACGCGAAGATCCGTCCATCTTTCAGGAAGGTGTCTTAATTACTTCGTCACGCCAAGAGAAAGACAGGTCAAATTTCATATGTAGGATTGAGTTAAGTTTAAAATAAAGTTTATCGACATAAAAGTCCAGATGTCTTGTGACATTTCCGGTTTAAAAAAAAGAAATATTGAGTTTTAATCCATATGTACCCATTCGGTTAAATAATATATCAAATGCACTATCCTTATCGTCGTATCTTTTGTTTATATAATATTAATTAACCTTATCAAGTTAGGCAACCAATCGTACTAATAGCCAGTTACAAAGCACTCTTGGGGGAGGTGGGGGGTGTCACCAGAGGCAGTTTGTCCTACCCTAGAGCGCCCATGAACAGGTACGACTGCACTTGCTACGACACGAAAGTCTCGAGTTCGGATCCAAGGCTCGCGTCTCTAGGTCGCCCGTGAGTCCGCTCAGCTCTGGTGGGTACCTGACTCACGTTAGGGAAAGTAAAGTTGGCTGGGCATAGCGCTGGCCACACAATCCCTGCCGAGGTCACAGAAACAGTTAAACTCTACCTAAGGACAGAAGTGTCGTACGTTTGGAAAAAGAAATGTGTTTGTGTGTTTGTGTGTGTGTTGTTTAGATGGCTGCCAATTGATTATGTCAGCCACTATTCTAATAGACTCTAATATCATCTACCATCCCAATAGATTCTAATTCCAACAACCATCCCAATAGATTCTAATTCCAACAACCATCCCAATAGATTCTAATACCAGCAACCATCCCAATAGATTCTAATACCAGCAACCATCCCAATAGATTCTAATTCCAGCAACCACCCCAATAGATTCTAATACCAGCAACCATCCCAATAGATTCTAATACCAGCAACCATGCCAATAGATTCTAATACCTGCAACCATCCCAATAGATTCTAATACCAGCAACCATGCCAATAGATTCTAAAACCTGCAACCATCCCAATAGATTCTAATACCTGCTACCATCCCAATAGATTCTAATACCTGCAACCATCCCAAAAGATTCTAATACCAGCAACCATCCCAATAGATTCTAATACCTGCAACCATCCCAATAGATTCTAATACCTGCAACCATCCCAATAGATTCTAATACCAGCAACCATCCCAATAGATTCTAATACCAGCAACCATCCCAATAGATTCTAATACCAGTAATCATCCCAATAGATTCTAATACCAGCAACCATCCCAATAGATTCTAATACCAGCAGCCATCCCAATAGATTCTAATACCAGCAATCATCCCGATAGATTCTAATACTAGCAACCATCCCAATAGATTCTAATACCAGCAACCATCCTAATAGATTCTAATACCAGCAATCATCCCAATAGATTCTAATACTAGCAACCATCCCAATAGATTCTAATACTAGCAACCATCCCAATAGATTCTAATACCAGCAACCATCCCAATAGATTCTAATACCAGCAACCATCCCAATAGATTCTAATACCAGCAGCCATCCCAATAGATTCTAATACCAGCAACCATCCCAATAGATTCTAATACCAGCAACCATCCCTGGTCAGAATCCCACACTTAGGAGTCGACGTATAACAGATTATGTCTAGAAAGTGACGCAGTGACGCAGCCCCTAGACGCAGTGACGCAGCCCCAGCCTTACCCCAACGAAGAGCCAGTCCTCACATTGAACGGAGACAATGAACATCAACATTGTGACGTAGTGATTGGACGCCGTTCGCGATCAGCTGATAACATCTGAGGTGGGATGGTGGGGGAGGGGAGCGGTCGCCTCTCCTGTAAGGATTCACGTCAGTCGTTAGCAGACGATAGTACATCAGACCTTTTGTTTCCGCTAATCCCTGTTTCGTTTCTTTTTTCGTTTAAGTGATTTTTGTAGATTTTATATCTTTAGCGTCTTATTGCGGTTTAGATGTATCTGTCGCCAAATTGTGAGTTTAGTCTTTTTTTCAGGCAAATTGTGAGTTGAGATTTGTTTAAGCTGAATTGTGAGCTTAGTCTTCAGCTGAGTTGTGAGTTTAGTCTTTAGCTAAATTGTGAGTTGAGCTTTTTTAGCTAAATTGTGAGCTTTGTCTTTAACTAAATTGTGAGTTTAATCTGTAGCTAAATTGTGAGTTTCGTCTTTAGCTAAATTGTGAGTTTAGCCTTTTTTTAGGCAAATTGTGAGTTGAGATTTTTTTAGCAAAATTGTGAGCTTAGTCTATAGCTCAATTGTGAATTTACTCTATAGCTGAATTGTGAGTTTAGTCTTTATCTAAATTGTGAGTTTTCCTGTCTTTCCTTGATTATAGAATAGACCCTTTTGATATCAAAGCAATCAAAATTAATGTGATGTTTTGAAAGTCATTTTATGTTTTCTAAAAGAAATCTGACAAAATACGAATAAGTGATGTACATAAAACATTGTATTCTACAAGTTTTTTTTGTTAGACCACACTGTTTGGTGTGTAATATTGGGCAGTGTTTCTTTCAGATCTTTTTCTCATGGGTAGAGATGGGTAGCTGTCACTTGAAACTTGGGTTGTGTGGGAGGGGGGGGGGGGGCACAGGTTAAAGTATATATTTTCTTTTAGATTTTTTAAATCTTTATTGTCCGTGTAGATGGGGGTTGGGGGAAGGGGAACTGAAGAGTTTTGACTTGGGGGTGGGGGGGGGGGTGATGGGGAGGGGAGCGGACTTAGGTACCCTCTCGGAGAGATGGCAGAAAGAAACACCGATAGGGTTGTGGGGTTTGGGGTCCGATTCTACAACTTAACTTCGACCTTCTTTTAATGGAGCATAATCTAACACCTAAAATTAATATATTCAGTTATGATGTCGAGTTAGTTAAATGTACAAATATTTACTGAATAAATGTATGTTTATCTCTTAATGAAGTGTTTTTACAAGCTTGTTATTATAAAACAATTATGTATTTTATATTCTATCTTATTTTTGTGATGTGTGTAAAATATTATATCCTTTTGACTATAATGAAAACAAAGAAAGATAAACAACAATTAAAAAAAAACATTTAAAAAATAGCTCCAAATCACAGAAGTAATTAATAAATAGACACAAAAATGAATTCACAATTATTTTATTCAACACTTAATAAGAGAAATGTACAATATAAAAAAAATCTTTTTTTTTTTAAATATTAAAATACAGGAACAATTAAGTTAACAATTAAGTTAGTCCACTGAAGCTGTTGGTAGATAGCAATGTTAAAATGTGAATGGCCCTTTCCTATACACATTGGTTGCCATGGGATGTTTTTTCATTATAAACGATAAATTACAGGACGCACTGCGTATTAATGAAATAAATTAGTTCAAATATCACATTTAACATTACAAATCAAACATTGTTTTAGCGAAAACGGAATGTGATGCTGTAAATATACATAAATTGCTTCGTCGCTTACTAAAAATAAATACATAGGGAGTGATCTCCCCTAAATGTTCACGTATACGAGACAGTAAAAAAAAAATTCATCAAGTGGGTTAGACTCTCGAGTGGTCCATGAAATTTTTTAAAATCGTGTGCTCAGGTAAGAGAAGATTGTGATATAAAAATAAACAACTTTTATCATTGAGTTTTTGTTTACTTTTTATCTATACTGATTGGACCTATTTGTTGTATTAAAATATTTTTGTTAGTTAAAAAAAAAAGGCTAAGGCAGTAAGGATTTTTCTTGTGGCCACGATGTAAATATAAACAATCATGACATAACTAGGACATGAAGTTGTTTAAATGTATACACTTTATTTAAAATACCAAACGGAAGTGATAAAGGTGGGGTTGTAATCGTGACAAGTGATACAGCCAATCAAAGTTCGTCTTACTAAAAATTAAGGGTTAAAACGAAGGGTTAATGTAAATTATTTTTTAATGTAGATTTAAAGGCAAAAAATGTTTTCGGGTTAACTGTATATGCACACTTTATAAAATCCATTCTGAAAATTTTACCGTTTCTGTTTTTTTTAATAATCTATTCTTAAATATAAAAAAAAAATTCCGTTTTGGTTTTTTACCAGTTGAATCAGTTTGGTTGTTGTTTAGCCCAGCCCTTTCATTATTCGAGTTACTTCCCAAAACTTTTAGGCCCGGGAACGATGTAAAAATGTAGCAAAAATAAGGAAGGTCCGATGCTTTTCAGCCTGTTTAGTTTACCAACACCTATGCTTCAGTTAGAAAAATCATGTAAATCAAAACTTTGAATGTTGTCAATGATTTTAGCAAGAAAATAAATACAGGCAAATAATTTAGTGGGATAAAAAAAACCATCACCAGTTCAGGCACCTGATTGCTGGAGTAGTGTATGTAGACTGGTGGATGTAGACTGGTGTGGTGGATGTAGACTGGTGGATGTAGACTGGTGTGGTGGATGTAGACTGGTGTGGTGGATGTAGACTGGTGTGGTGGATGTAGACTGTGGTGGATGTAGACTGTGGTGGATGTAGACTGGTGTGGTGGATGTAGACTGGTGTGGTGGATGTAGACTGGTGTGGTGGATGTAGACTGGTGTGGTGGATGTAGACTGTGGTGGTTGATGTAGTCTGGTGTGGTGGATGTAGACTGGTGTGGTGGATGTAGACTGGTGGATGTAGACTGGTGTGGTGAATGCAGACTGTGGTGGATGTAGACTGGTGTGGTGGATGTAGACTGTTGTGGTGAATGTAGACTGTGGTGGATGTAGACTGGTGTGGTGGATGTAGACTGGTGTGGTGGATGTAGACTGGTGTGGTGGATGTAGACTGGTGTGCTGAATGTAGACTGGTGTGGTGGATGTAGACTGGTGTGGTGGATGTAGACTGTGGTGGATGTAGACTGGTGTGGTGGATGTAGACTGTGGTGGATGTAGACTGGTGGATGTAGACTGGTGTGGTGGATGTAGACTGGTGTGGTGAATGCAGACTGTGGTGGATGTAGACTGGTGTGGTGGATGTAGACTGTGGTGGTGGATGTAGACTGTGGTGGATGTAGACTGGTGTGGTGGATGTAGACTGGTGTGCTGGATGTAGACTGGTGTGCTGGATGTAGACTGGTGTGGTGGATGTAGACTGTGGTGGATGTAGACTGGTGTGGTGGATGTAGACTGTGGTGGATGTAGACTGGTGTGGTGGATGTAGACTGTGGTGGATGTAGACTGGTGTGGTGGATGTAGACTGTGGTAGATGTAGACTGGTGTGGTGGATGTAGACTGGTGGATGTAGACTGGTGTGGTGAATGCAGACTGTGGTGGATGTAGACTGTCGTGGATGTAGACTGTGGTGGATGTAGACTGGTGGATGTGGACTGGTGTGGTGGATGTAGACTGGTGTGGTGGATGTAGACTGTGGTGGATGTAGACTGGTGTGGTGGATGTAGACTGGTGTGGTGGATGTAGACTGGTGTGGATGTAGACTGTGGTGGATGTAGTCTGGTGTGGTGGATGTAGACTGGTGTGGTGGATGTAGACTGTGGTGGATGTAGACTGGTGTGGTGGATGTAGACTGTCGTGGATGTAGACTGTGGTGGATGTAGACTGGTGTGGTGGATGTAGACTGGTGGATGTAGACTGGTGTGGTGAATGCAGACTGTGGTGGATGTGGACTGTGGTGGATGTAGTCTGGTGTGGTGGATGTAGACTGGTGTGGTGGATGTAGACTGGTGGATGTAGACTGGTGTGGTGAATGCAGACTGTGGTGGATGTGGACTGTGGTGGATGTAGTCTGGTGTGGTGGATGTAGACTGGTGTGGTGGATGTAGACTGTGGTGGATGTAGACTGGTGTGGTGTATGTAGACTGTGGTGGATGTAGACTGGTGTGGTGGATGTAGACTGTGGTGGATGTAGACTGGTGTGGTGGATGTAGACTGATGTGGTGGATGTAGACTGGTGTGGTGGATGTAGACTGGTGTAATGGATGTAGACTGGTGTG